TCAATTATAGTTGAGGAGACAGTTTCTTTTTCATTTCCGTAGAAAATCTGATTTTTTAAAAAAAAGATGAATTTTAGTTAAAAAACAAAAAAGTTGGAGAGTCTAAAAATAACCAAGACTAGCTAGGTTTGTAAAGTTTGTATGCCCTGAGTCAAGGCAAATGTTAGATAGGGCATGTTGGATAAGCTTGAGGTTTGACAGTTCACCTGGAGGTTAGCTGATAAATGTTCAGCTATAGGTTGATAATAAAGATAACTAACTTATTAATAAATTGACTTTCATAATATGAGCCAACCATACAACCTCAAACTTAGCTCCCTTTGATTTATACTGCAGACCAAGCAAGCCATACAAATTCTTAAACTTAGAAAATTGACCCCCTCTGCCTGCAGCCCTCCTCCCTTTCCTCTAGTAGCAGGAATCCCTCTTTAATTATTACATAATAGAAAATAGATCCATGTAGAGGTGGGATGGATGAGAGAATCTCACACAGGTGAGTTCTGCACTTCATATATTTTTGTTTCGTTTTCTTCTCACACATTTTCCACTTAAAAACCATACCAAATTCCCTCAGGCTGAGTTCTTAGATCAGATTCTAGTGTAAAGTGAATAGTACTTAAGCAGTTTTATGGTAGAGTGAAACATTATTTTATGAGACTATCAGAAGTTTAGGCCCAGAAAGACATTTCCCATTTGTATGTTTTTAAACACAAGACAAATGTTTCAGGGCAGCTGATGTAGACCTTGTACTACTTTCATCATCCAAAATAATTGGTATCCATGTAAACATCTGAACCAGTCAGATGACCACATTAGCTCATCTCACATGAACTGTTACAAAATGAGGTTTTGGATGCTTATGGTTAGTTCATTGAAGTGATGCAAGTTCTTTTGAACTTACCAAGCTAGTATTTATTCTTTTATATCTTATGTACACATTTTTTAAAAGAAAAAACAATAAATTTTGTTTGATTCCCCCCTACCCCCCTCCACCCATTATATATTATTTCTCAGTGAAACCTTCAAAACTAGGTTGTTTTTCTCGGCCACTTTTACAGTTATTCTCATCACTAGTTTTCAGCACTTTGGTTAGGATGTGCTTAATAGAAAACTGGTAGTTGTCTTTATAGTTCTTCTGCTTTGAATTTGCCGAGATTGTTGGATCTGTGAGCTTATGGTTTTTCAGATTTGAGCATTTTTCAGCCTTTACTTCTTCAAAGATTCTTTTCTATGCCCGTCCAGTAACACACTGACAGACTGATTGGTATTGTCACGCAGGGTAATGATACTCTTCTTTTTTCCGACCCAGTTCTTTTCCCTCGTATTCATTTTGCATAATTTCCTTTGCTGTGTCCTCAAGTTCACTGACTTTTTCTTCTGCTGTTTCTAAACAGCTGTTAAACCAATCCAGAGTATTTTTCATTATAGAAATAGTTTTCATCTTTATAATTTCTACTTCAGTCATTTCTGGTTTGTTCCCATTGGTTTCCTCCTGGTTTGGGTCATATTTTTCTTTTTTTTGGTAATTTTTGATAGGATGGAAAACATTGTGAATTTTACTTATTGGGTGTTAGACTTCTCAAAAAGTCTTGTAAGTAATGTTGGATTTTGTTCTGACATGTAATTAGGTTTTTAAGTTGCTTGAGTGGAATGTAAACCACTATCATTTCCAACAAGTGTGTATACCATCTTGACTGAGTTAAGCAAATCCTAAGAAAGTATTAAATGCATTGCTTCACTTTTGTGTGATACTTGTCCTAAAATTCATTTCAATTATGAATTATAAGTGTAGCGACTAGTTACCACATGACATTTTCTTAGCTCATTTTCTGTGATGTATAATGAAGGATGAAATGTATTATGTTTTATCTTAATATATTGTTTATGACAGTATTCATCTTCATTTCATGTGATTTTTAAATGTTTGCTGTTAGAATAATTAGATATTTTGGAAGTATTTTGAAGACATTAGTTGTTTATTGTGTCCATGGGAAGGCATAAAGGCTAAGATAGGTGACTTTTTGTTTTGTAATAGATTCAGGCAGGAAAACAAGGATTGCTAGCTTCTGTAGAATTAACAACTAGTTAACTGTCAGCTTCTGTAGAAAAATTAATTTTTCACGTGTGGGGAAAGATTTGTCCACAGTTGGAAGTAGCATAACACCCCTAAGCTAAAGGCTTCATAAAAGTTAACCTTCTGTTCTGTGTGCTTTCTTAGACTCTCTATGCTGAAGCACAGGACTCATTTCCATGATGTGTAGACCAGACAAGGGTACCTATTCACTTGTTTTCAAAAATTAACTCTGTGTGTCATATAGGTCGAGGCTTGCTGTTTGGATCACTGAGGTTGTTGGGCATTGTCAGTCCCAGTTCAGAAAGCTTTTCTTCCACCTTCCCTTTGCGCTACGGTAATTCATTCATCCACACAGGACTGCTGGACTCCCATAAAACAGACCACTTTGTATCTTGTGTAGCCTTTTATTTCCACTATTTTGTTTAATTAAAAAAAATCTTTTACAACGGAATTGTTTGAAATATTTCAGAATGTAGACCTTAAAATTTCCAAATTATTATTGTCTTAGAAAGATTCCATAGAGGCTGCTTCACCCATCCAGGAAGGCTAGGGTGCGGCCTTAGCTCCCAGTTCACATTCCTGCCTACTGCACATTCCTACCTACTGAAAGAGTTGCTTGCTGTTTCATATTTGAGTTCATTTTTCTATTTATCCTGGTATTCCCTGCTGCCTAACTTTGGTGTACTTAACTGACTAAAGGATTGTGCCGTAGTTTCCTAGCAATTACCATTCTCATACATCAAATGCAGTGGAAAAGCTCTGACAGTTGGTGAGCACTGTGCTGGGCATCCCTGGAGATGCAGAAGTAATAAAATATGAGTCCTGCCTTGCCATTCCCTCCAAGTATCCTAGTGAGGAAATGAATAAAAACAGACACCTTAGAATATTGAGTTTGAAAGAATATAAAAGATGGTAAAATGGTTTCCAGGCCTGTGCCATGCTGAGCTCCAAAGTGGGCTTCTCTTGTGGGTGAAGCAGCTGAGCACAGGATGCAGATGTTCTCAGTGGGCGGCATGTGAGCATGGTGACCTCCGAGACCTGCTAGATGGGTGGTGTCAGTCATTTGGTGAACACTTATTATATTCTGTTCTTTTGTTAAACATACATTATTGGATTTAATCCTCATCAGAATAGAGTCTAAGTATTTGTTATCCTCATTTTGTAAATGTACAATGTAGGGATTTTAAATAATTTGTCCAAGGCCCACACAGTGAGAAGGCAGCATAGCCAGGATTTGAACATCAGTCAGCGTAGCACAAGCCCACACTGTTAATCATCCAGAGCCTGGGCCATTAACCACCAAAACACATGGGAAGAAATAAACGACCTTGGCATTCATAGCTACGTTCTTTAATCGGCTGAATCAGCTATTTCACAGAGTATAGAAGACTTGGATATAGGGAATTCCAAGTTAGTCTGTAAGTTATTCTGTTTGCTTTGTGACTTTGAACTTAAGTAATAAATGTAGTTAGCCTAAGGGACTATAAGTAGGTACATTTAAAACTTATTTCTAAATTTACCCATGATTTAATTTGTTTTAATTAACTTTCAGGGTATTTAACTTGTATGTCTTATTGTGTGTATACATATGTTTGGGAGCATGTATGTATTTTCATGAAGTATCTAAAGTAGTCTTTTAAAAAGAGATCATTAAAAAAATCAGTTTTTGACTTGTCAGGGAAATTTTATAGATTTTAGTACTGTGTATCAATTCTGTAGCATTTTTATTTTTCAAAAGATAATTTCTTTTCTGAAGTTTATTTGTCAATCTAATTCAATAATGTATCATTCATGTTAGAGTGTTTTTTTCTTTTTCCTTCATGACTTTGAAATAGCTTTGATTTTATATCAGTATATAAATTGCCAGGAAGAAACAAGTTACATGCTGAACATAACTTGCAGTTATGTTTATAAAATATAAGGCCTGTTTTATAAAGTGTTCAGAATGAGGTAGACTGTGATGATACATATTTGGAAAGAATTTCATAGTTGATTCCTTTAGAAGTTCGCTGTTTTAAAATTGCATTTGCTCTCAGTTTATATCACTAAACTTAATTTTGTTAGCTTTGCAGAAATAGAAACAGAACTTTGTCAAAATAATGATATTATTTCAGAAGTTGGCTGGGGATAGATATGACAAACAGTATTTTTAGAGAATAAATTAATGAGAAATTGCATTTTGAAGGTGAAAAGAAATGATTTCCTTTTTCCTCTTCTGCAGCATCCTTCTCCCCTATAGGCTATCTAAGCTTGACACCGGGATTTTCTTTCTCCCAATTTTTAAATTGTGTCAAAACACACATGGCACAGAATTGTCTCAACCATTTTTAAGTGGTTCATTGGCAGTAAATATGTACATAGTGTTACCTGCATTGTAACTTTTCCCGGAGACCTTGAATAGTTGCCCTCCCTACTCCCTCATGCTCTCTCTTTGCTGTGTGGGCCACTGCACAGCCTCCTGTCCTTCTGTTCTGTGTGCTTCAGAGAGAGCAGCCAGGCAGGACTGCACTCGCCCGCTCCACGGTCGGCTTGTGGTAGCTAGCATGCAGGTCCATTTTTCGTTCTGTCTGATTTGTATCTTCTAGACTTTTGCTGTTTTTCCCCTTAACCTGTAACTTTTAGGTTTATATTTCAAGTTAGAAAGAGCTCTAGAAATTACAGGAACAGAAACAACAAAACCTCCCTACCCCTGTGGTGTTTCTTGTTCATGGTAAGGCAGCAATAGTCAGTCTTTCCCCCTTGGCGTGAAAGGAGTTTTCACTCTCCTTGCGAGTTTTCACAGGTAGACATAGAGGAGAAGGATTGCGGTGCTGAAGAGACGCATACATAGAAAAGTTCTACAAAGAGTTCTTTAACAAATTATAACTGAACTGGGAACTTGCTCATGATGATACTGAGTGCGTTCTCTGCTTCTGGTCTTTCGTAGGCAAGAGTGCACCTCGGGGGACTCAGCTTGCAAGAGTCCCGAGTCCGATCCGGAAGACTTCTCAGATGAAACAAATACAGAGAATCTTTATGGCACCTCTCCCCCTAGCACACCACGACAGATGAAGCGCATGTCAGCCAAGCACCAGAGGAACAGTGTTGGGAGGCCGGCCAGTCGATCCAATCTGAAAGGTGAGTCTTCTCCTTAAAAAGGCAAACGTGGGAGGGCATGGCACTTTGGATACCTCATTTTTATATGACTTGCAACTGTTGATCGCTTCTTTCTACAATAAGGTTAGCAATTTCTTTTGGTTTTAGTTTGATTTTAATGCTGCTGTTACATTTGATTTTTAAATTTTTGAATTATTACAGTAGCAATATTGTTAATACAACACACAAATAATTTTCCAATGATAGGAAGACTTGTCCTGAGTAATGACTGAGGTCAGCCATAGGAGGCATTTGAGAGTGTGGAAGGAGCTGAGTGTTCCCTGCGTACTAATCCAAGATGGCTGCTGGTTAGGTGGGAGAGATGGCCTTCTGTTATTCTTGAAATCTTTTAGTCTGTGGCTTTTAGATTCTGCCTTCCCAAAAGAGACAGAGTCAGTCTTTCTTCCCCTGGACTCTGTAGGCAGCCAAGATCTCTGTTGTCTGACCGTGACCCACGGTGCTCCCTTTTGTGTGTAGGGCTCTCTCTCTCTCTAACACAGTGACTAGATGGTCCCCTATATCTCATAACCGTGGACAGAGCTTGTCTTCTACTTTGTTCTTTATTTAGCAGGTAGTGCCCAGGTAGTGCTCTTCTCCCAGAAGCAGCAAGTATGTGTTCTTTTGTTTTTTGCCTCCTTTTGGCAGGTCATAGCTGCTCTTTCTTGAGGTAGGTAAGTTGAATGAGGCCAGGCCACTGCCTGCTTCCGCCAGGAAGGATGGCCAGGACCCTCATGGTTTTAGGGCTTGCCTGTTAATCTTAACAAACGCTTGTCCTCAAACAGATCCTGTGGCTTCCTGGCATTCATGCAGCTATGACTGCATGAGGTACAGATGTTATTTTTCATCTCATCTAAGAAATTCCTCCTTGTGGCTGCCACACTCCTTCCCATCTCTCTCTCTATAGCTTGTGCTCTGCGTTCCTCTGTGGTCCTCATCCTCTCCCTGCAGGCTTCTTCACTATGCGGAGTGTTCCTGGCTGAGTTGTCATCTTCACTTTGCACCCCCCTCAGAGCCCTTCCTCAAAAGAGAAGGGAGGCTAGAGACATGGATTTTACTGAGTTTATTTGCTTGAGTGAAACTTTATGCAAGGGAATTCCTGAGCAGTGAAGAGTTTTTCTTTTTCACAGATGATTTTTCCACACAAGTTACTTTTTTGGCCTTGTTTAAAAACTTTATTTGCAATAGGATTTTAAACTGTGGCTTTTACTTACCCCTTTGGAAACTAATAGCTTTCCAGTACACTTTGCTATCTTGGAAATGTGTCGTTATCCATTTTCTCAGACCTTTCTCAAGTGCCTTTAGAAGTTTCTTCCCTATAACAGGTGTCATGAAGTAGCATCTGAAGAACCAGTGTCAGTTAATAACTATTTGCTTTGTGGTGGTAAAGTAAGATGATGCCAGTGGTATATCTTCTTTTTTTTCCACTTGTTGGTTCATACTGTTTTAGAACAGAAGTTGAGAGCTCAGTGCCTCCATTTTATAGACTGAGAAACTGAGACTCAGGGTTATAAAGCAGTTTCCTTAAGTCCAGAGGCTTGAGATGGGGCAGGACTATTATTTACTGCTAGTTTTCTTGGTAGTCGGTGTGGTCTTTTTCCGAATATGAGCCACAGGGGTTAAGCTCACCTGAAGGCAGAACTTGAGTAGATTCTGCTGCCTTTCACTATTAGGCAGACAGCTGGTCACTAGATGTTTGCTGATCTTACTGCTATCTTGCTGGGCTGTGTGGGAGATAAAGGGAAGGGAGAAAGTTTCCTCTTTCCTTCCACAATTTCTTTTAACCGTTTCTTTTATAATATGATAGAATTTTAGAGCTGGAAGTGGTCTCAGAGACCACTTAAGTTCCTGCCGCTTTTCAGATAAAGAAACTGGTGCTCATAGGCCTTTTGATTTATAGCTGTTTAATAGCAGACCTAGGGCACCAAATCCTTAATAATTTATTCTTTTTCTTATTGCAAAAGATTATGTGTTTATTGTAGGAAATTCAGAAACTATGGACAAGAAGAAATAAAAATCACCCATAAAACCAATACACAAAGCAGCTTCTTTTACCATCTGTGAAAGCCTGACTACGGAGCCTGTAGTTTTTTTGCTTGTGTATGTTTATGTTGTCATACTGTTTCCATCATTTTATAACTGGTTTCTTTTTTTATTTAATGTTTTGTGAACTTTTTATGTCATAGAATAACTGTACTCTTTTTTTTTTGAGTTGGAGTCTCTCTCTGTCGCCCAGGCTGGAGGGTAGTGGCACACTCATGGCCACCCGCGCATCAACCTGCTGGGCTCCAGGGATCCTTCTGCCTCAGCCTTCCAAGTAGCCAGAACTACAGGCGCATGCTACCATGCCCGGCTAATTTTTGATTTATTGTAGGGATGAGGTCTTGCCAAGTTGCCCAGTCTGGTCTCGAACCCACAGGCTCAGGCAATTCACTCACCTCAGCGTGTGCTGGGATTATAGGCAGAGCCTCTGAGCCCAGTAATAACCTATACTCTTAACTTAAATATCTGCTGTGTCATTTGTAGCAGCATCTTCCCAATTACTACTAACAATAATTGAGTGTTTACTGTGCGCAAAGCACTGTGCTTAGCACTTCAAAGTAATTATTTTTTAAATGTAATAAATAACGCAATGAGGTATAGGTGTTATCTAATACGGATTGAGTATCTGTAATCTAATGCTCCAAGATATAAAACTTGTTGAGCGCTGACTTGATGCTCAAAGGAAATGCTCATTGGAACATGTTTTAGAGTTTAGATTTTTGGATTTGTGATACTCACCCAGCAAATATAATGTAACTAATCTGAAAAAAATCAAAATCCAAAGCTCTTCTGGTCCCAAACATTTCAGATAAGGGATATTAACCTGTATTTATTTTATAGTTGAGTAAACTGGGCTCAGAGGGATTCCACAGTTTTTCATTTTAATGGCTCAGGCATGCATATAGTAGAAAGCAGCTTTACATATCTTTTGAATTATTTTTTGCCAAAATTCATGTTCATGTGTACCAAGAGAAGATGGAGATGAAGCAGCCATGTTGGACAAGTGGGCTATTTGAATGTTTTGGTAATGCAGCATTTGCGATGTCGTGGTGAGATAGTCTTTGAGAACTTATTCTCAGATACCTGCAGCATTCATGGTGAACAAACACCACAGACTTGGCTGCTGGATTGCCAGGATTCCAATCCTGGTTCTACTATCTCATTCTGTCTCTGTAGCCTCCATGTCTTATTTTCTTTATCTATAAAGTAACCTACCTTCTAGTGTCGTGAGAACTTATGTTCAGTAAGTCTTAGCTTTTGTTACTATTACTGTAAGCTATGGATTTCTTCCTAGTATTTATTACACTTTTTTCTTGCCTTAAATCCCAAATCAAAAATAAACGTATTGTTTACATATCTTTATTAATTGGTGTCCCCATTTTCAGAACCCTGAGTCTTAGATTAAATGATTGTCTCAAGTCATATAACTACTGATTCTATGTCTGTCCTGCCTGGACTATACATTTCCTTGTATCTCTTCCTAATTCTTTGTTTTTTTCTCATTATCTGAGGGGGATCCCAAAAAACCCAGAATTATATTTTTGGAAGGCAAGTCCCTTGTAGTATAGGCTTCCCCTGTTAGGTAAGTGTTCTAAGAACCCATTGGCATCAATGTACCAGATAGCATTGTGAGAGGCTGTGTTTGGCTTCAGTGAATTGTTTTTGGAGATTCTTTCAATGCATTTGCCCATTTCTTGATGGGTGGTTTACATGAACAACCTGCCCACACTGCATTGAGTAGTCAGCAGTTTTTTTTTATCAAAAACAGCATGATCTCTGTGTCCCACCGTCCTATTCACCCAAATGACTTTTTTTGTTTTCCCAGATGAAAAAAGTCCTCAAAGGGAAACATTTTTGCTGATGTGGAAGAGGTTAAACAAAAACAACAGAAGCACTAAAAAGGCATTAAAATTGATGAGCTCATAAACTGTTTTGAGCAGTGGAAAAAGTGTCTCAATAGCTGTATTGCATCAAACGGAGAGTACTTTGAAGGTGACTAAAATTGAAACATGTCAGAATAAATACACATTTTTTATAAATAAATTCCAGGATTTTTTGGGCCCCCCTTCATATACACTAGTAGCATAGTTTTCGTTGTTGTTGTTAAGTGTTGCTTTCCTTTATTCTATACCACCTTTCCTCTCTCCTCTCCTTTTTTCCTCCTGCTTTCTTCTATATTTCTCACTCTCTCCCCATTCTTTTCCTTTCCTCCCTCTGTTTTTTCCTTATTTCTCCTTCATTCTTTCCATGGAATCAAAATTTGAGTGACTCCATGGGCATGCACTGATTTCAATGATGAATAAGACCTAGCACCAGCTTTTGCAGGGAGCGTACAAGTAACAGGCAGGGCAGCCTGGTGTGGTGGGACTGGGGTGGAGGTTCCTGTGGGTGCACACAGGAGGGGGCATTGACAAGACCTGGGGCTGGAAGAGTTTAGGAACAAGTGCCATTTGTGCTGTGACCTCAAGGCCGAGTCAGGAAGGCCAGTATTTCAATCTAGCATGTGATTCATAATAATATATTGGTCCCTCAGTATTTTGAGGAGTGTTTTAGAATTAATTAGATTGGTCAGATTATTTTAAAAGCTTTCCAAGGAAATGTGAACTGGTACATTCTCACTGCAGTAAGCAAAGGCTCTCTGATTTGAGTCATACTGTTAACTTTAGAACTGTAGTGAAATTGGGAGTCAGGCTTTTGATACATATTCACACCAATAACATTTGCGTTTTTCTGGTTATCTATTGTTGTATTAACAACTATCCCAAAACTTGGTGGCGTGAAGAGCTACCATTTTATTGCTTATGGTTCTGTGGTTCTGGCGTTTAGGCAGGGCATAGGTCATCTCTGTCCTGTGATGTCTGGAGCCTTAGCTGGAGCAGCTCAGTTGGCTAGAAAAGTCCTAGCTTGACTAGCACCCTGGGTCTGAGCCCTCAGTTCCTCTC